AGGGTAAAGTCTGACAGCAGTCTATGGTGCTGAGGGGATAAGAGTAGTGATCAAAAAGCCTACAGCTTAAAATAGGAAAGAGAGATCATAGAAGATTAGCTTCCTAGTGGGGAAAGAAGCCAATTACATTGCCTGATAAACAGACACTGGGTTTCCTGCAACTCTACAGAATCCAAAAGCCCAGAGAAAGGAAATGGGAATGCAGTGGAAGAGCTGTGTGAAAAGGGCCTAATTTTCAACCTCGGAACAAGAATTTACAGTTATCAGAGCTAATAATGTCTCAGCCCAGTAGGCTTTACAGAAAGAAGCTGCAATCCATAAGCCAGCTAATTCATGTTTACATCAATAATGCAGATAATTTTGGGGAGGGGGTACTCCTGATCCCCTTATGAGGCCTTTGCTCACTTTAACCTGTCATGTTAGATTACACCACACCACCTTCAAGGTAGATCTACATATCCTGACTTAATTCTCATTTCACTCAAGGACTTTCAGCTGCATAATCAATGCTAAGATGACTCATAATAGTTTGTTGCCATGACGGGTGTTTCAGATGGATCACCAATAACCAGCTGGTACCCCACAGCAACAGTGCTTTAGCATTTGAAGTGGGATGTCAAATAGACACTGTTCTCACCTAGCGATAAGGATATGTGTATTCTGGAGAACAGACTACAGATCTTAGCATTTAGCTCTCAATATCTTTGACTTACCACTATGCAGGCCTGAGGGGGAGCACCCCAGCTGTTTAACAGCTGCCCAGCAACCCTATACAACAAGAAAGGAATAATTCCATCCAACAGGAACTGCGGGAGATTTTTAGTGAGCCAGACTAGAATTTACACAGGATGCACAAGAAAATAGTCCAATTACAAAAATGAAATGTGGCCTACATAGCATAGCAAAGGATCAGGAGATCACAATAACCACAGGACCTTGGTTTTATCTCTTCTCTCGAGCATACTGCCTCTTACCATACTCCGTATCTCAGCAGAGCAACGGGCTGTATGCGGATACAGGAGAAAAGCCACCCTCATCACTTTTCCTGCAGTACTTGTTTTCTCCTTGGAGTCTCCCACCCAAGTGCTGACCCAGCCAGGTGCTGGTTAGCTTAACATTTGTTAGTCCCAGCACAAAGCATTTGGAGCTACAAGCCAAGCTCCCACCCACCGCAAGCCAAGGATGAAGAGATTCTTTTCCTTGCAGCTTCTCCCACGTCAGGGGTGAGCCAACCAGGGAGCCATCAGACTTCCTTATCTAAAGCACTTAGACTCTGTATTTGGGAAGGGGGTGTAAGGGAGGGAGAGACCCTGTCTCTGGGTTTCTTGTGTTTCATCATTTTTCCTATTTCTCCCCCACCCCATACAGCATCACCCCCTCTCTTGCACACTCCTTCCGAGGTACAGGGTCTATTCCCCACCACCACCAAAATACAAGGTCTTGCCCTCCCTTGGACCCCGCCCCCAGCTATAGGGTCTATGGTCCCCCCAGAATACACAGGGTATTCCACACACCCCAGCTATAGGGTCTATGTTCCCCCCAGAATACACAGGGTATTCCACACACCCCAGCTATAGGGT